GAAAGAGAGAAAGCAAGCCACCAGGTCGGGGACTTGAACCATGCTTGGCCATGTGGGAATCCAGAGTCCTTATCCACCACACCACCTGCTGGTCCCCACACAATCTCTTCTCTTCCATTCTCCTCTTGGAATTTTGGGTATGCATGCACATGGCACCTGGTATGTTTTTCAAGTGGCTGGGTCCGGGATTCGAACCACGCTGCTGGCCATGTGGGATCCAGTGCCTTACCCATGCCACCTGCTGGCCCTGACTACCCTCTAACATACTACCTATTTCACTTATAATTTATCCTGTTCGCTCTCTGCCCTCCTCACTAGAATATAAGCTCCTCAAGGCCAAGGACTGACTGTCTTGTTCACTGCTCACCTCCAGTGCCTACGGCAGTGCCAGGGCCTAGGGGATGCACGATGAATATGAGGTAAACGGTCGTGGGCACCCTATACATGAGGCTGCTGCGCCAGGCCACGGAAGGCTCTCTATGCCCCTCACACAAACAGAAAGGGGCAGATCGGGCATCTGGAAGGAGGCCACCTGTGCTGTGCAGGCCTCCCCCGCAGGTCCCAGAGATGGCAGTACCTCCATGAGCTCATCGATGAACTGATTCCGGGTCTCCGGGTATTCGAGAAGTGTCAGAGCATCTGGGCCCCTAGCAACACCTTCTGGAGCTGCCAAGAAGAGACGGAAATAAGTGATAAAGGATCTGAGGGCTAGAGAAGGAGAGGACCCTCAAGTGGACAGAATCACTGCAACAAAGCCACTTCCTGTCCCAACCCAAGGGGAAGTCTACCCTTTGTGTGGCACATCAGCCCTAGTCAGGCACCACTGCCAAACCCCAGCCTGGAGGGGGATGACAGAGCTGGGTTCAGACCAGCAGACCTCGGTTCTAGTGGGTGGACAGAGGTAAAGTTCCATCCTGCACTGCCCTCTAGTGGCTGGGATGGGTGCTACATCCTCTCTGCTGGTGGGAGAGGGTCAGGTCAGATTTCAGGGCCCAGCCACCTCCCTGGAGCTCCCTCACCAGAACAGATGGCCCACATTGGGTCTCTACAAGAGTCAACTATAGTTTTTAGATTTAATTTTAAGAACTTCCCTCTGCATTCTGCATTCATATCCTCATCAAGATTTTGAGAAACAGTAAAGTAGGCAAGAAGCTTTATCCTAACAGTATTTTTTTCTCTATTTCTAGAGACATGGGGGGTTGGGGGACTGAGGCAGCCTACTTTGCCAGGCTGCAGGAGCTGGTGCACTCACCCTGGGTTCCTGCCTCCAGCACTGTGATCTGCGAAGCAGCAGCTTCATCTCCCCAGTCTATCCCATCACCCCCAGGGTCCTGGAAGGAGAGCAAAGACCCCCCTCAATGTTGGGAGTACATGGCCCAGCTGGGGGAGCAGAATAAACCAAAGCCCTCGATAACTGCAAAGACCGCACACTCCAACTGCACCAAGGGCCTGCAGCACTGACAGAGCTGGCAAAGGCGAGTGGGGGGCCAGCAGGTGGTATAGTGGCTAAGGCACTGGACTACTACATAGTCAACCACGGTTCGAACCCTGGACCCAGTGGCTTGAGAATCAAGCCCAAAAACCAAATAAAAGATAAAAGAAAAAAGATGCGGGGGGTGGGAGGTGGCATTTATGCTGCCAGCCTCATCCCCTTTCTAGAGTTACCATCTGCTTGTGCCTTATGACTGCCTCGGACACCAGGACAAAGGAGGTCAAAACTTTGACTCGTCACTTAACACTCTGCCGCCCCCGGACCACACCTGGTCTTGAACCACAAACCTGCACTCTGCCTTGAAGACACGACTCATGACAACACTTTTCTTTTCTTTTCTTTTTTGGAGATGTTTTCATTATAGGGCGCGTGCGCTCGCCAGACAGACAAGAGACAGCAAGAGAGATAGAAAGCAAGAAATCACCCCCCGGGGGATGGCCATGCCGCAATCCCTTCTCCTCCACTCTCCTCTTGGGATCTTGGGCACGCACACACACGTGCCCGGCATGAGTTTAAGCCACCAGGTCTGGGATCCGAACCATGGTCGACTATGTGGGAGTCCAGTGACATAGCCATTATGCTAACTGCTGGTCCCCGACAACACTTTTCTTATGGTTGAAGTGATCCCGAGAGCCCTCAGAGGAAGGGACCGAAGTGTCCTAACCTTTGAGTCTGATTCCAGGGCGATGCCCCAGTCAATTCCTGCAGCCTCGGCAGAAATGGCAGAGTCAGTGTCCTCAGAAACTGCTTGCACCCCAAAGTCGCCCCAGTCGATCTAGAAGGGGAAAAAGTATGAGCTCGCAGCAGGTCAGTACAAAGAAAAGGAAGACCCACCTTCCTCTGGCTGTTTCTACAGGGAGCACACACTCAAATTCAGTGGCCGTCAAGCGTCCCAGAAGAAGGCCCAGCACAGAGCTCGTGTGACTGCAGCTCCGAGCTCACAGAGGACTCACTCAGAGCCTCCGCAGCACCCATCTGTCCTCTGGTCCCAAGGCTGAGGAATAAAGGACAGGGCATGCTGGGCCTCACACCAACCTCCCTTGCTCCCTGCTGGGTCCTGGGTTTGGGCTGCGTGTACATGTGCGAGGGCCCCAAGCAGCCGGCTCGTTCTGTGTCAGCGACTCACGAGGCTTATCTTACCGCATCCTCTTCCACCTGCTCGGGGGGCTCCTCAAGATGCGGCCGCTCCACGACGGAGGGCTCTGTGCCCGTCCTCCACTCGTACACCGTCGCATTCCCACGCTCCTGCACGAACCGCAGCATCGGCAGCACCTGCTCTGCGGGGCTTCAACAGGGTACAGGGTTGACTCTCCCACTGCGTGCCTTCCAGGCCAGTGCTGGGCGGGCTCACGTGGTCGATGGGGACGAGTCTCACACTGGCTCAAGTGTGCAAAACCACGTGCCAATGCCGTGTGGGAAAAATACCAACAGAAAGGAGCCAGGGAAACAGGTGAGGCATGCCCTGCAGAGAGAGGCTGAGGCGCTCTTTACCTTTCACACACGAAGTCCACGCAGGCCTGGTACAGGGCAATGGCTTCCCCCAGGGACTGGGCTGCGGCCCCGATCTCGGCCAGCTGACTCGGTAGGTCCTTCACCAGGGCCAGCAGCTCTCTTCGGACATTGTCTCCCTGCAGAGGGTAGTAGAAGGGGCTGAGACGGAAGTGATGGGAGGTGGAGTCTGCTAAGTTAAGGACAGCATCGAAAGACTAGGGAACAGTGAGAGCCAAGTCCCAAGGGGCGCCACCCAACACAAAGGAGTCCCCACCAAAAGTGCAGAGCCCAGGAGGATGGGCCGAGGCCCTGCACCTCACTCACCGTGATGCCATACTGCTTGCATGAGTGGCAGAACTGCTCCCGCATCTCGGCGGCCCCTGCCTGACCCTCCTCCTCCTTGCGGTTCCTGCTGCAGCTGCTGGCACTTGGAGATCTGCTTCTTCAGCGAGGGGATCTCGTAGCTGACGTTCCGCACCAGAAGGCTAGAGAGCTCCACTGAGAAGGGCCCAGAGGCTCACCCCAGGATGCTCACTCCACACGGCAGGCGTGCCCAGGACACGCCAACTGTCCCTGAGTGGTGGGAGCAGCGGGAGGGTGTCTTCTGGCCTTCCCTGTCCTAGCTGTGGAACCCAAGGTGCCTGACTTCACCTCTCTAAGCCAAGCCTCATCTGTAAAACAGGGCCTACGGGGGCCAGCAGATGGCGTAGTGGTTACGTTGCTGGATTCCCACATGGCCAACTGCAGTTTGAGTCCCGGACATGGTGGCTTGAAACTCATGCTGGGCACATGTGCATGCATGCCCAAGATCCTGGGACAAGAATGGAGAAGGGATTGCAGTACAGTCATCCCCCCGGGGTCATTTCTCACTTTCTCTCTCACTGTCTCTGTCTCTCTCTCGCCAGCAAGTGCCCATGTCCTAAGGCAAAAACCTCTAAAAGAAAAAGGGGGGAGAACAGTTTATTCTTAGAATAGAGAGAGGGTCTACACAACACTAAACAGCTCCATGCCAGGCAAGGATCAGCTACTGTTACGATTTACACTGTGTGAAAGTGCCACCCAAACCAGTCGGCCTGGGGCTCTCAGCCACCTGCTGGCCCCAGGAACAGCCACCTCTCCTCCCTAGTGTAGAACGGGGTGTGGAGGGGCTGGGGCAGCACGCCCCACCTGACCAGGAGCGGAATGCTGGAAGTGCACGGCATGGCAGCTGCCCTACCCACCTGGCCCTCCTCCTCCCTGCCACCCAAGCACATGTGGAATCAGCGTTCCTGCCCACACACAGGTGACGCCTAAACCCCAGCCTCTTCCCACACACCACCTGGGACTCCCCTGAGCCTGCTGTCTCAGAACTCTGCAAGTGGCTACTTAGGTAGCAGGCCACGTTACCTAAGTAGGTGTTGTCCTTCTCGTACAGGGCCACGATCTCTTGCCAATCCTAAGTGAGCAGAGAAAGAGGGAGCGAGCCAGAAAAGCACTCAGAGTCAGCTCGCAGCTCAGTCCCAGAGGGCAAGCTCTCCCAGGCTTCGCCTCCCATCAGACACAACCTCTCGGCCTCCTTCAACCTGGAACTCTGGTTGGACCACCCACTTGGAGAGTGCTCCCCAAAGCAGCGAGTCTGACCATTTGAACCCAGGGGTAGGATCTACTTTGGGCATAGACTATAGGGACAGAGAGCAAGTTCAGGAATATTCTAGGGAGGCATCTCCACTGACTCTCTGAGAGGCCAGAGAGGTTCTGACCCGTGGGCTGGGTGTCCCCAGCTACAGGCTGCCAGCCCACGGCCCACGCTTGCCTTCATTCGCTGTGAAGAATATCGGCCAAAAATATTCTTCGTGGAAGCCTCAGTGCCTTTGAGAAGGTCCACGATCCTGAGGCAGTGGAAGTAGTGAATGTCTGGAAAGCAAGGAAGAGCTGTCACCACCTCGCCTCCTCTGGCCCTGCAGGTGGCTGGCGGTCTGAGCACAGGGCTCTTCTGCCTTGTCACTTGGCGTTGGACAGAACCAGCACCTGCACCCGACAGAAACCTCCCTCTCTGGGGTCAGGCCTATGGCTGACACCTACTAGTCTAGGAAAGGGGATTCAGTGGTCCCAGGGCACTCACAGGAACCCGAGAGCAGCTGGGCGATCTCCTCACTCTCCGGCATGTCCTGGATAGCTGCGTTGATCTTCTCGCGGATCGTCAGCACCAGACTCTGCCATTTCAGGTTGCAGTGCCTTCTGTCCACCAGCCAGTCTACATGAGGAGCACCCAGATCACAGCCTTCGGGGCCCACAGCCCGCAGCCCGCAGCCCAGCCCGCACGAGCGCATCGGCTAAAATTGTGGGGCTCAGGACCAGCAGTTGGCGTAATGGCTATGTCATTGGACTCCCATGAAGTCAACCGCGGTTCGAGTCCTGGACCAGGTGGCTTAAACTCATGCCGGGCGCGTGTGCGTGCATGCCCAAGATCCCAAGAGGAGATTGGAGAAGAAGGGATTGAGGCATGGCCATCCCCAAGGAGGGTGATTTCTCACTGTCTCTCTCTCTCTGTGTCTTTCTGGTGAGCGTACACTCCCTATAGCAAAAACCTCTCAAAAAAAAAAAAATTGTAGGGCTCATGGGAAAAAGACAGGCTCCACTAGATGGATTCAGTGGTCCCAGGGCACTCACAGGAACCCGAGAGCAGCTGGGCGATCTCCTCACTCTCCGGCATGTCCTGGATAGCTGCGTTGATCTTCTCGCGGATCGTCAGCACCAGACTCTGCCATTTCAGGTTGCAGTGCCTTCTGTCCACCAGCCAGTCTACATGAGGAGCACCCAGATCACAGCCTTCGGGGCCCACAGCCCGCAGCCCGCAGCCCAGCCCGCACGAGCGCATCGGCTAAAATTGTGGGGCTCAGGACCAGCAGTTGGCGTAATGGCTATGTCATTGGACTCCCATGAAGTCAACCGCGGTTCGAGTCCTGGACCAGGTGGCTTAAACTCATGCCGGGCGCGTGTGCGTGCATGCCCAAGATCCCAAGAGGAGATTGAAGAAGAAGGGATTGAGGCATGGCCATCCCCAAGGAGGGTGATTTCTCACTGTCTCTCTCTCTCTCTGTGTCTTTCTGGTGAGCGTACACTCCCTATAGCAAAAACCTCTCAAAAAAAAAAAAATTGTAGGGCTCATGGGAAAAAGACAGGCTCCACTAGATGCTGAGGCTACTCAGACTCTGGCACTCTGACTTCTTCTGCAGAGGATTTGGTTTTTGTCACTGGAAAAAAATTTCTACGTATTTCCTTTCTCTTTTGTAGGCAGGGAGAGGAAAATGGAGACAGACACAGGAGTTTTCAACAGGGTCTCACTGAGCTGTGACCCTCCTGCCCGTGGCCTCCAGTTAGTGAGTTACAGGGGCCCACAACCACGCCTGGCCTGTTCAGGTTGGTCCAGAACAAAAAGGCTTCCCATGTGGCTTTGGTCTCCTGAGTCATGGCGCCATCTGTGCACCAGGACTGGGACTTTTCTTTTTTTAAGGGTATTGTCATGTTGTGAGATCCTTCTGCCTCAGCTTTCCAACTGGGACCACGAACATACCAACGCACCTGCTTTTCATCTTTTTAAAGTTTGCCATAGGGTGCACGCACTTGCTAGAGAGAGAGGGAAAGTAAGGAATCACCCCCAGGGTAGACGACCACGCCAGTTTCTTCTCCTCCATTCTCCTTTTGGGAGTTTGGCCACGTACACCCATGTGCCCAGAATGACTTTGAAACACACAGCCAGTCATGTGTGACCCCATGCCTTCACATGCTGGGCTCCATGTTTTTATTTTCCTGATTTTTGTTACAGAGCGTGCATTTGCTGGAGAGACAGAGACAGAGAGTGAGAAATCATCCCCTGGGGGGATGGCCATGTGGCAATCCCTTCTCCTCTCAGGACTCTGGGCGTACACACTCACACACAGTGTGAGTTTCAAGCTGCCATGTCCGGGATTCCAACCACAGTTGACCATGTGGGAAGCCAGCTACACCACCTGCTGAGCCCCATGCCTGTTTCCTAGGGTCTCAGTGTGTTGCCCAGGCTCGCCTGGGCTCGTGCTCCTCCTGCCGCAGCATCCATGAGTTGCTGGATTACAGACTCATGTCACCGGCCCAGCCTTCAGGCTGTACTGGAAACAGAAAGCGGGTCTCTCGTGCGGCCCCAACATGTGGAGCACTGGGTCTTAGCAGCGCGCGCCACTGTGGCTGGGACAACCGAGCCTTATTTATTTTTTATGGAGCAACTGTCTTAACACAGGGATAAAGAAAAAACTTTAAATTAGTCCTCACATGAAAGTGCCACTTTGACCATTCTAAATTCTCCGTAATATTTTTGCTTCTCTGGGTAATTATCTCTCTTTTGCTGACAGAGGATGCTGTCCAACTTCCACTTCCTCGGGGCTGGGATTAACCATGACAATGGAAAATACAGGACGGCTGTGCCAAGAACCGGATGGATGAACAACGGCAAAGCCCCTAATACCTACAGCGCCCCAAGGACTAGCTAACACGAGTCTGTTCTTAGCAGCCAAGTTCCACCCTGCACAGGCGAGTCCTACTATGACTGACCCCGCAGTCTGGGCCCTGACCTGCGGCTCGAGAGCCAAGCGTGTGTCCTCAGGAGAGAGCTAGGAACGAGGCTTTGTGGTCAGACGGTCCTGGGTTCTAATAACCAAGTTTCTCAGGCAAGTTCCTCTACCTCTGTTTCTTTTGCTCACACGTAAAATGAGGATGATAAAGAGCCAGTCAGTGGTGTGGTGGTGAAGGTGGCTGAATCCCATATGGCGGACTGTGTGGTTTGTCTCAGACCTGGTGGCTTGAAATGTGTGTGTCCAAAATGCCCAGAGGAGGGAGAAATGGAAAAGGGGTTGCAGTGTGACTAGTCTCAGTCCTGGGCAGGTCTGGGGCGAGTGGGGGAGTGGCCACGATCCAATCCCTTCTCCTCCATTTTCCTCCTGGCATTTTGGGCATGCACCCACCCACACCCTACAGCCCAAATGATTCTGAAGCCTTCAGGTCCAGGACTCAATCCAAGCAATTCTCTGAACCTCCTGCCAGTTGTTGGCCTAAGATGGAAGCTTTTAAAAAGAAATGAGGGAGATGGGACCAGCAGTTGGCATAATGGCTATGTCACTGGACTCCCATGTAGTCGACCACAGTTCGAATCCTGGACACAGTGGCTTAAACTCACGTGGAATGCATGTGCATGCATGCCCAAGATCCCAAGAGGAGAATGGAGAAGGGATTGCGTGCAGCATGGCCATCCTTGGGGGAAGGAGGTTGATTGCTCACTTTTTGTCTCTCTCTCTCTGTTTTTCTGGTGAGCGCACGTGCCCTATAGCAAAAACCTCTCTCAAAAAAAAAAATAAATCCTGAGAGGAGAATGGAGAAGGGAATGCAGTATAGCCATCTCCCTGGGGGAGATGGGTGATTTCTCACTTTCTGTCTCTTTAGCAAACACATGCACCCTATAGCAAAAATCTCTCTCCAAAAAACCAGTAATAATAAGGAAATAAGGGGAAGTTTTTCCTGGCATAACATAAAAAGCATGGGCATATGGTAGGGCGTGGTGGCACACACCTATAATCACAACAACGCAGAAGACCAAGGTAGGAGGATACCAAGTTTGAGGCCCGCCTAGGCAACAAGGCCAGACCTTATCTCAAAACAAAACAAAGCAAAACCATGAACGCTGAAGTCAGACTTAAGTTCCAATTTCAGGTGTGCCACTTAGTAGCCAATGGTCTTTAAAGGAAGCTGTCTGTGCCCGAGTGGCATGATTTGGTCACACACGGTATAAATAAGTAGAAAACTCAGGTTATGTACAGACTCTAGAAATGGTTCTCCCCCGCAGCTCCTAGGGAGTCAGGTCTGACCACGATGGGGTAGGACAGGCCTCCCCACGACGGCCTGCTGCACGGGGCGTCCCCTCCTACCGAGCAACTTGCTGGTCTGGATGTCGATGGGCACGTGCTGGTGGTCCTGGCAGGAGACACAGCGGGCAGGGCAGCGTGAGCGCGGGGAGGGGCGGCACTCACTGTCCCAACCGCCCCCCTGCGGGGCCACCACGAGCGGTCAGGAAGGGCCGCGCCCGGGAGGTGGGCAGTGGACGCGGGTCCGGGGTCCCAGGACAGATTTTTAGGACCCCCGCCTCCATTCTCCACACCTGCATCTTTTCTCCACTTCCGCTTCCGGCCGGAGACCCAGCCCCTCCCAGTCCTACCACCAATCCAGAGTCCCGGTGGCTCAGCCACAGGTTGGCCACAAACGAGCTTCCTTCGGCCACGTCGCCGCCTTCCGCAAAGCCAATCCGGGCACACGCCCCACCCCGACCCCAAGCGCCACTCACTCCTAGGCTCCGATTGGCTGAGCCCAGGAGGGGCGGGAGAACGCGAACAGCCAATGGGAGACAGCAGGAGGGTCAGGGCCGGAGAGGGGCGGGGACTCCTGGACCGGGCTGCAGTGGCGGCGCTATCGCGCCAGGCGGCGCCCAAGAGCCGGCAGGATCCCTTCCTCCTCTGGGGGGCGTTGAGCCCCATTCGCGGATTCCCCAGTGTGCAGGCCGGTTCCTAGGGTCGACCTTGGACTGCGCTTTCTGAGGGTACTGAAAAATGCTCTCTCCCCTCCCTGCCTCGCATTGCCGGCGATTGCTGTTTGTAGGTCTCTTGTGGAACTTTTCACGCTTTGCTTTCAGTTTGCCTAATAGGTACGGCTTGAGCACCTGGGTTAGGCGATTAGGGCAGGGAAGAGGGAGGAAGAAGGATGCGGAGGCACCAAAGATAACATCTAGGAGTCTTAAAGAGCTGCAGAAAGGAGGGTGATGCGGTTTCCGGGTGGAGGAAACCGCGCAAAGCTTTGGCGGCCACAAACTACAAGAGCCGGTCAGAGAACAGCAGGCGGACAGGGCTGGCAAGAGGTGTGGGGCCCAGTGCAAAATAGAAATGCAGGGTCCCTTGTTACACTATTATAAAGCACCGCATGTGTCTTGCGCCCGTGGAGGCAGCCAGGGCAGGCTAGCCTCTGTGCAGCACAAGGTTTGAAGCAGAAAGTGGCGGGGAGAGGAGGCATAAAGATAAAAGGGTGGTTTCAAAGAGGCCTCTTTAAGGAGTTTGGACTTTACCCCTGCAGGCTCAGAGGAAAGGTTTTAATGCTTTGAGGCAGGGAGGGCCCTGTGCAGATTGAGTGCAAGGAGGATAGACTCATGGGTGATAAGACGGGGAAAGACTGGGAGAAGGTTTTCCAGAGGTTAAGGCCTGACCTGGGAGAGGTGTGAGGAGGAGGGGGACGGCTATATCTGAGAGGTGTTTAGGAGGGAAAATGGATGGGGGGGGGACAGCCAGGATGACACCCAGGTGGGAGAGTGGGAGTGCCACCCGGGAGGCAGAGATGTAGGGTACTAAGCAAGTGTTGGGAGGAAGGGCTCTCACCTTGGGATTTGTGGGGTTGGTGATGCTGGGAGGCCCCCAAAGGAGAGCGTGCAGAGGACCCTTGGGTCTGTAACCAGAGTTCAGGGGATTCCTTAGGTCCGCACATACAGCTGGGGAGTACCAGCTGCCTGATCTGTGGTCCACGTGGTAGCTGAAGCAGAGCGAGGACTTGAGGTCAGCTGAGCAGTGGGTAGAATGATGGGAGTGGGTGGGCTAAGTTCCGAGTCTCAGGGATTTCACACAGGCTGGCTGGCCATTTCTAAATATTCCCACCTGGCCCTGCCCTCCAACGCATGGCACTTTGGGCAGTACATTTTTGATCAAACTGCATGGAGTGGGAAGACCTAGATTCTGGCCCAGGGAGATCTTGGACCATTTCCATAACCTGTCTGATAGCCACAGTTTCCTCAACACGGAGATAAGGCCTATCCTATCTCAGGGTAATTCTGAGAGGCTTAAATAAATAAACATACCGAATGCACATAACTCTTTACAGTTTACAACATAATATAGACTTATTTCCCCATGCTTTGTAAACTATGTCCCTATGAAACAGTGTGTATAATCAGTATTATTATTATTATCATGGAATGAGTTGAAAGACTTCCCTGAAAAGGATTCCTAGCAGAACCAAGGGCCCCTTCAGGGCTCTCTCGTGGGAATTCGGCTCCGTTTCAGAGTCCTGACTCAGGCTGTAGGAATTGCTCGGGCTCCCCCATGATTAAACAAACACTTACTAGGCTCCAGCTATGTGCCCCAGGCTCTCTGGGACATCCTGAGAAGCATGGCACTGCCCCACCCTCAAGGCGTATCTCTCCTTGAACCAACAGACTGGGTAGAACAAGGCAGGGCAGGTCTAGAAGACCCAGCCCTGGTGAGTGGGTGGAAGTAGGGACCACCAGCACTGCACCCCGCCCACAGCTCCCCAGTGACTCACATGGGGCAGAAGGATGTTTGAGAACAGTCCTGCCCAGCTGCTAACATAAGGGAGCCTGCCCCCAAGCAGAGGCCCATGTGCCTTTGGCAACACTCTGCACTTTTCCAAACCACAGAGAACCTCAGAGCTGGTGGGCAGATAGGCACCTAGTGGTCTGGCATGCAGGGCATTGGCTCTGCCTGCTTGGGGGACGTTAGCCATCTTGACCGTTGGTGCTCCCAGCATCTGGAAAGAGGCAGGGAGAGGGTATGGGAGGCTTCTTACCTCCAGTCTCTCAATTATCTGCTGGTTTAACAAGTGGGAGGTGAGGAAGGGTGTGGCTAGGGCTGGGAAGGGAACCCCAGAGCCCCAAGAGCGGAATGCCTTCTGTGCAGGTCTGCAGGTGGCTTGGCCATACTTTGTTTTGCTGGTCGCTTGCCTATTACATGATAAGGAGGTGCCGCATGCCAGCCTTGCCCTGGATGTTTTACAAGCCTTATCTAATTTGCTCCTTCTAACAACCTTATGATGTGGGCGCTATTATTAGCCAGATTTCAAAGGCAAGGGAGTCAAAGATCAGACTGAAGTAACATGTCCAAGATTATGTGACGATTGTTGGTGAGGCTGGGATTCAAACCCAGGCCTGTCCGGGTCACCAGCCTGACTGTTGCTCTGTACTGTTTCTCCTAGACCCCTGCCCATCCTAGGGCCCTTCCTCCCCCGGGTTTCAGCCCGTTCCCACTTTCTCCCCAGTTGTTGTTTCAGGCACTTAGAACTCCTTCCCCTGCAGTGCCTTTCCAAAGTTCCTTCTTGCCACACCCCATTCTGGGCACAAATGCCTGTTACTTAGCCTCCTGTAAGATCCATAAAAAGAAGGCTTACTCTCAACGTCCAGATAACCCATTGCTTTTATCTGCCATGTGTTTATTACTTTATGGTCTGTGTCTGCTCAGACTGTGAAGTGTGTGTGTGAGTGAACGTGCGTGAGAGTGAGTGCACGTGTGTGCATGTGTGTGTGAGTCTGTGCTTGTGAATGTGTATATGTGTGTGTACATGTGTGTGTGTGTTTAGTTATCTGCCTGCTGGGCTGGAAGCCCTGGAAACTTAGCAGCCGCGGCTGGGCCTCCTTCTATTAGGAGCATAGTTTCTGTGCTGTTTTGTTCGGTCCGTCTCTCCACCTAGTCTGGGAGCACTTTGTGGGCGAGTGGAACAGACATGTTCTCTCTGTAACCCCATACCCGGCATGACATCCGACGTCCAGTGCCAGTGCTTGGTGGGTGGTTAGGAGGACGGAGGAGAGGAGGCGCAGCCGGGTACCAGGCAGGCGTTTGGTGATGGTGGTGACCGGGACTTGCCTACTCTCAGGGAATGGGAGCAAGGTCTTCACCTCGTTCCCTCACCCCTCCCTTTATAGCCAGGACTTGGTCAACCCCCCGAGCCTCCTGGGAGTGGAGGGAGGAAATCGGGGGAGGAAGCTCAGCTGGTTGTCTTCATGAGTCAAGCACAGGACAGGGAATGCCCATGGTGGGCCAGTCACCTGGGTCGTGCCTTGGGGCCACCAAGTGCACCTTTCCCCCTGATCAGCCATGCCCTCCCTGTCCCTTTGTCTTTGTCAGTCTTCTGAGAAAAAAAAATCCCACTGGGCAACCTCATAAAATGGGTCTCATGTGCCATTTCCTAAGAATACCACTGTATTTCATAATTTTATTCCCCTCATGGCCCACCTACCATTCCCCTTTCCCCATGCAGTGTGGTGTCATGTACCATCCAGGTGCCAAGCACCGTTTGCCGAAATCCTAGGAACCTTAACACAAAGACGGTCCCAGCCCTCAAAGAAAGTAGCGGTATGCTGTGTGAAGGACCCACCCCATTCTAAGTTCCATGATGGTACCCCACAGCCCTGTACTGTGCTCATGCATGGAAAGTGCTTTGGCGTGGTGGTTAAGGCGCTGGACTCCCACATGGCTGACTGAGGTTCGAGTCCCAGACCTGACGGCTTGAAAGTCACACCAAGCACATGTGGGTGCATGCCCAAAATATCAGGAGGGGAATGGAGAAGAGGTTACAATGTAGCCGACCCCGTGGGGGGTGATTTCTCACTTTCCCTCTCTCTCTGTCACTCTCCTGAGTGGCCAAACCTTTAAAAAAATGTCACTAGTGTTTGGCTTTAGGGTTCCTTTAAACTGGTTTAGACACATCTTTTTTTTTTTTTTAAAGCATTATTTGTTCAACTTTATTTATTATTATTATTATTATTTAATTTGACCCAAGAGAGACAGAGAGCAAGTAGGAAAGTGAGAAAGCAAACTGCCAAGTCTGGGACTCGAACCACAATCAGGCATGTGAGAGCCCAGCACATTAACCACTGCTCTACCTGCTGTCTCCACCCCCCCCTTTTTTTTAAAGAATTATTTGTTTGATTTTATTTTTAAAAAATTTGACCAGAGAGGGACCAGCAGTTGGCATAATGGCTATGTCGCTGAACTCCCATGTAGTCAACTGTGGTTTGAGTCCTGGATCCGGTGACTTAAACTCATGCTGGGTGCATGTGCGTGCGTGCCCAAGATCCTGAAAGGAGAATGGAGGAGAAGTGATTACAGCGTGGCCATCCCCCCTGGGGTGTGATTTCTCATTTTCTGTCTCTCTGTATCTTTCTGTATCTTTCACACACCCTATAGCAAAAACCGCTCAAAAAAGAAAAGAAAAATTTGACCAGAGAGACAGAGAAAGAGGGAAAGTGAGAAAGCAAGCCATCAGGTCCAGGACTTGAACCGCAGTCAGTTCTCCACTTCATGTGGGAGTCCAGCGCCCCAAGCACCGCACCACCTGCCAGTCCCAAGGTATGGCCATATCTTAACTATCGCATCTGCAAAGACCCCATTTCCAAATCGGATTCTGGGGTCTGCTTAGACATGAGTTTTAGGGGCCTGTCCTTCCCAGTACACTAGAGACATCAAAGACAT